CAGAGTTGCGCGCAATGTCCTTTTGGTTGGTGAGGTAGCGGGCCAGCATCCTGTTGGCATGCACACAGAATCCCAAGATATCCTGGGCTGTTGCAGCATCTAAAGGCGCTGTAAGGCCATTCCGCATGTGCCCACTCCTCTAAACCAAAAGTGCTGGCATTACGCATTGTGCTGTTGACACACCGATAAAGTTGCTGCACCAAATCGCATGCAGGTACCAGCTCCTGTGCGTCCAGAGGTCTTTGGCGAGGTCCGGATCCTAAAATGATATTTGCTGTGCGCTCCCAGTATACGGGTTTTTTTGAGAGAGCATGCATGTTTACCTATCCACGCCGAGCGCACGACTGAGAGCCTTAAGCTCCTAACCGCCTCTTGTGCGAACATTATTTTTCGAGACCTCTTTACCTCCCTGCCTTTCTGTAAGGTGCCGGCGCTGGTGCAGCCAGAAAGCCTCGAGGCCCAGCTAGTCGTCCTGAAGCTGCTCTTTCGGAAGCGAGCAAGCAACATGTTCAAACAGCTTTGTGATGCCACGAAGCTGGAGTCTGCATTAGCAACCTCTCCTGCAGTGCTGCAGTACAGGCACTGAGTGGTTGCAATCGGCTGTTCCCTGGTCTGCTGCTTGTCGAGCAGGGGTCAGCAGGAGGTCCAATCCTCTCAGATCCACGCCATCTCGTTAAATTATTGTTTTTGTTTTGCTTTGCGGTGATTTTTGCGGGCAGAGCACCAAAAGGTGCACTTTCTGTCAGCCTGTTTCCAAGCGTGCACGGCGAGCAGGAACCTCCAGCCAAGCGCCCGAAGGTGCAGGAGGAAGAGGCATCTTTTTGGCCGGAAGATCTGCTTGCAAACTTCAGTGATCTTTTAGTACAGTAGGACGGCAGACCTTTTTTGAGTACGAGCAAGCAGAGATATCAGGTAGAACAGTGAGATTGCTGTGCAGTCATGGGAGCGTGCCTTTGTCCACTTCTCATCTCAAACTCCAGAGTTGTTTGCCTAATTCCTCGTTCCATACAAATTTTCAGCTGGGGCACAGGCCTGGTGTCCTGCGACAAGGGGGCTATGCAAAGCCTAAAGAATTCTGCAGCTTCGCTCCACATTTCTGCACGGCCACAGAGGGGCTTGGACGACAAAGGCATAAAGTCTCGTTTAGATTCTTAGTGGTAAAGCCAAGATCCATGGGCCATGGCTCCATGGCTGCTCTGCACCTCGCTGCCTTTGGCATTAGCTTTGCGGGACAGCATCAATGGCAGCTTAAAGGCAGGACGGGAAATCTCGCATTGAGCTGGTGGTTCGCCTTTGCCTCTAGAAGGCCAGTGTATGAAGCTTGAACGTGCCGAAGTGAAATTATGAACGCTGAAACTCATGATAATCTCCTAATATGAAGTCCAAACCCCTGCAAAACAAGCTTCTCTGCGTGTATTGTTTTCCCGAAACAAGGAGCTCAACTTTGAACTAAGCGAGCACAGACAAGATATTTTGACACCAGCTTGCTTGAAGTGTGTGCGCAATCACCAATCCCGGTGGCCATCATCTTGAACTCCAACTCTTCACATGACCCCAACATTTTGAGATGGGGTCCAGCCTTTCGAAGCCACGACAGCAGAATTCCTTTGCTGAGGAAAGGAAAGGAAGCAAGGAACCTCTGAAACCGACAGGGCCTGCAGCAGCATGGCCTGGGGGGCCTCGGCGCAGCGGATGAGCAGGTGGACTACTCTGAAGGCACATTGGGCACATGTTAACTTCTTAAGCGGACGGCAGCATGTGCATCCCACACGTGGCTGGCAGCTGTTTGAACATGGCGCCAAGGCAGGATGCTTAGTATGAGGCTCTTGAGCTCATTAGAGGCAGGTGCACAGCTGGACGCGTAACCTAAAGCTTCCAAGAACATAGCGCCACGGAAGTGACAGTGAGTTTAAGTCGCATTGCCCAGGAATTGAGTCCGAATCGCCCCATGCTTGTGAGGGTAGTCTCATGATTCCCATGCCCACATTCATTTCTGCTTAAGTAGTGGGCAAGTCGTCTTGACAGACTGCGCGCGCAAACCATCATGTTGCATGGCATAGTCTTCGTTGCGAGGCTACAAGCTGGCCTTGCAGCTCGCGCAGAATCAGCAGGCCAACCACTTCTGCTGTCAAGCTCGGTTCAAATGATCAGCTGCTCAGAATTTGCCATTGCACTCTTTGATGGGCACTATCACCTGCGGCGTGTGTCAATTCCTTCCATTCTTGCATGCAGCAGTTTGACGCCTATAACTTGCGCGTCTCGCAATGTGCTGTGCTCGTTGGCCAATTGCATGGCTACAGGCACGGCTTGCGCATCGCTCGCTAGATCCAGAAGATGCAGAGATACCCACTGAAGGTGGCTCGGTTAAGCGGTCAAGCAGGGCCAGGTTGTTGGTGTTAGCAGCTTGGCACAAGTTCTGTGCCGGCAGAAGTCCAATCAGCTGTGAATGCCCACACTGTCAATTTGTTGCATTGAACGGCAGTCATCACATTTGGAATGCGATGCAGCCAGAGTATGCGTGAACGTGATTCAATTCTGATTGTTGTTGCCACTCGCCGTACTAGGCGAAGAGTCCTCGTCAACTCCTACGACAACGGAGAAGACAACTACGACATCTCCGGCCAACGGTGCAGGTCGTGCAGCAGCAGCAGTAGCAAGTGTCACTGTTGTCGCTCTTAATCTGGGAGTGTCTGAACGCAGGACTCAGGCAAGTGACGTTCGCCAATTCCAGTCACATGCCGCTAAAAATGTACATTGATGTCAGGGCCGTTGAAGTAGTACAGCAGGCAGCCCATGAAAATTGAGATCATGACTGCACATTCAGTGCTAGCTCAGCCGCTGCAGATACCTTTGAGCTCCGTGCCCACCAGCTCAAGGAAGAGCAGGACTGGATTTGGGTCTCAGCTAATCGCGCCAGCCGGAAGGCTTTATACATCTTGGCGGCTGGCCTATCAAGTCAATGCGGCAATCGCCCAACGGATCCGACTCTGGATTTGTTAAAGGTTGTGTCTGTGGCACTGCAGGCACGAGCATAACGCGTGAGAGACGTTAAAAAACAGGCCTAGCAATTGAAACTCGATTAATGCAGTCTCCCTGACATGCGCTTTGAGAGGATTTCGGTCTCCGCAAGTAGGAACAGACCTTCATTTCCAGTTTGCAAGCCGCCCACGCCATCCAGGAGGAAATCGGGTTTGGGATCGCTGCAGCTGGGCCTACGCAAGTTCTACACTACACTGGAGATTTGCTGCAGCACTTGTCTTTTGCAAGTCCTGTAGATGGCTACCATGCCTGGATTGGATCTCTATGCAGCTCCAGTTGGTGTTGCATGGGCAGTGCATGCCGTACAAGTTACATGGAGAAGGAAAAGATTTCTCCTCTGCAAATCTTTCTGAAGTGTCCAGCCGGACAAGGACAACGCCGTAACTGGTAACTTCTTGACATGGGATTTCCTGTGGAGAGTCAAACTGACCTTTCTGGAACAAGTTGTCAAGTATGTCTTGGCCCGACTGCTGCTGAGCCCAGGTCTTCTTTTTCACGACCTTGGTTTGGGACATGTTCTTGTTGTGGATGCTGCTCTCCCCAGATCCACAGGCGCAATGATGGTCAGGATGTCACGAAAGCTAGCTCCTTG